AGTGTCCAGTCAGTGTGTCTGGACTGTATTAACCCCTCTCTCTCAGTGCAGTGTTAATGTACTGGAGTGTCCAGTCAGTGTCTGTATTAACCTCTCTGTCTCTCAGGGATCCCAGCTCTCTGTCCACTCGAAGCTCTCAGTGGTCCTTCAGTACTCTGAGCTCCAGCACCCAGCGGTCCTATAGGGAGTGTTTCAGGTGAGTCTGAAGGAGAAGTCTCTCCACTGTCCCGAACTGCGTTTGCCAGTGGGAAGCAGTGCTGTGGAAACAGCGCCTCCCAGTCCTTCGCAGGCAGAGGGGAAGTGCAGCTGGCAGCAGACAGGTGAGTGTGGACAAGGGGAGGCAGTGTGTGAGGGAGTCTTCGGTGCTTCAGCTGTGGGTGTTTTTGACTCTGCAACTGGAGGTGACGTGACAGAGCTGGTCGGTCAGTTCTCCTGCCTGTCTTCTTCTCTGGGACTGGGACTTTCATGGGATGTTGTCGAGCTGCACGGGGGAGGTCAACTTTGAGCGGGAGTCTCTGCAAGGGGGTGTTGTGATACTGTGTGACCTCACTGGGGGTGTCACTGCGGAAGGGTGTCACTGCAAGGGTATGACCTCACAGCAGGTGAGGGTCCAGTTAGTCATGGCGTTCAGTTTGCTGCTGTTTCCACAGCTGGACACGACACCCCCTGATCCTGAAGAACAGGAGAGTCGTCTGCGCCTCCTTCCTGCTGCTGTTCACTGGACTGGGTCTGTCCGTCTCTCTGTCCGTCTGTGTCTCTCTGTCTTCTCCTCGGTCTGTCTGTCTGTGTCTGCGGCTGGGGTGGCTGTGGTTTAGGGGTGACGTCTGCGGTGGGGGGACAGTGTGGTTTAGGGGTGACGTGTCTGCATCGGGTGTGGTTTAGGGGTGACGTGTGTGCAGCGGGGGGGTGTGTGGTTTCAAGGTGACGTGTTTATGGTGGGGGGAGGGTGTGGTTTAGGGGTGACGTGTCTATGGTGGGTGTGGTTTAGGGGTGATGTGTCTATGGTGGGGGGAGGGTGTGGTTTAGGGGTGACTTGTGTGCGGTGGGGGAGGGTGTGGTATTGAGGTGATGTGTTTATGGTGGGGGGAAAGTGTGGTTTAGGGGTGACGTGTCTGCGTCGGGTGTGGTTTAGGGGTGACGTGTCTGCGGTGGGGGTGGGTGTGGTTTAGGGGTGACGTGTCTGCG